AGCTACTTTACACGTTTGTAGCAATCCGGAACTCTTCACAGATATACATAAGTATGGCGAAGAAAAGTTAAAACTTGCTAACAATAGCTCAGTCGGAATTTCAGCAAACAGTACAGTTTCCTCTACAGCCGATATCTTAGACAAAACAAAGAAGATCTTACAAAATAATATCCAAAAATTTCAAAATAAACAAAAACTAATAATGTGTATGCCCTCCTTTGACTCTTAAAACTTCGACACAACGTCTAGGCATAGATTCTATTAATTGACAAATTGTTCCTAGAGTAATATTGTTCCATTCCTCCTGAAGTTGTACTGCTAATACCTGTAGATTATTTGGCTATTCTCGATCCCGCAATTTTCTTCCCATGATGCTTCAAAGATGTTCAATGGGGTTTAAGTCAGGGCTGTTGGCTGGCCACTCCATTACTGTAAGATTATCCTCTTAAATAAAGTTTTGAACAATTCTTGCAGTGTGGGGCCTTGCATTACCTTGTTGTAAAACAAAATTAGGGTCTTCTAGATGAGCCAGTGGAACGACAATAGGTGCTATAACGCCCAGCTGTTAGAGTGCCATTTTCAAAAACATGTAAGCGTATACGCCCGTTCAATTGAATACCTCCCCAAACCATTACAGAACCACTGCCAAAAGCTCTTACTTCTCTTACATTGCAATTCAAAAATCGTTCTCCACGGCGTCTATAGACTCTCACACGTCCATCGTTGTAGTAAATGCAAAATCTTAATTCATCCGTGAAAAGAACATGGCTCCATTAATGAATATCCCAATTTACATGTTGTGCTGCAAAGTTTCTTCTTGCTCTACGATGAGCTGGTACTAAATGAGGAACAATAGCTTGACTTCTCGAGTGTAGTTGGGCTTCATGAAGTCTGTTACGTGTAGTCTGTAGAGATATGCGTCTACCAGTGGCCTGAAAATGTAAGTTTCTTATCTGTGTAGCTGTTCTTGTCCTATTTTGTAGGGATAATCGTACAATTTGGCGGTTCTGTCGGGGCGTAGTTATTCTTTCTCGTGTTGTATATGGTCTTCTACGGATAATACCTATGTCTTGAAATCTATTCCACATTCGGTGAATCGTTGGTTGACTTGTTTGAAGCAAGCGGGCTACGTATCTATGCGAACGTCCTTCTTGTAATAGTGTAACGGCTCTTGCTACTTCAATTTTACTTAGATGCCTTCTTTGTACAATAGGCCTTTCAAGAACATCGTTATTTATAATTTCAAGTCAATTGTTAATGTTACAAACAATTTAATTGGTGTTCAAAGCAAAACTGAACTTTAATTTTTTGCGTATATATTTTTCCTCGCCTCCTCATAAAAAAGTTTTGTTTTTTTATATTGAAAATATGCATTTAGGTATGCTTGTTATTTGTATAAATTTTAATGGAAAATACGGGGGACATTTAAAAAGATTTAGATAATTAATTCAGTAATACCTATTTCGTTGTGACTAGTTTATTTTAAACTTGACGGATTTGTTTGTAATACTAAAAAAAAAAAAACTTAAAATCTATTAGATAAGTCTAGTGGCGTCCCACAGGGTAACCCAATTCATATTTTTTTAAGAACTGTCAAAAAAAGAGAAATTTCCAGAACACGTTCACATGAAATTTTAGATATAAAAAAAGCCAATAAAAACTTCCTTCAATATTGGCATAACATTTGGGAATACCTTGTACAATATTATTTCATATAGAATGATATTGTAATATATAAATATTATAAATTAAATATTACCTTTCCAAAATGAATAGTAGAAATACATATTTAAAATAATAAAAAAAAAATATTATAAATCTGGAATAGAAAATAGATCAGATGGATCTAACTTATCTACTCGTATGCGGGGGTACCACTGATAACTTGATTCGTATCCCAGAAATAATGAATAATAATGAAGTTTAAAAATACAAATTTAATTAATAAGAGGATGAATTGAAAATACAACCCCCTTGAGCTTGGCAACAATCCTCTATTGTTTTTAAATGGCAAGCATAGTCAATTAACACATCATTTAATAGATAGTGCAGATCTCTAACTGAAATAAATTTATGCCATACATTTAATAACCAGTAAAATTGGATTTCAAATAAAGTGTCACAATTTACAACACGTAACAGTTTTTATCCATCTAAAGGACGCTAAAATCAGAAGCAGTGCAATTAATAGTCAATATTATTGAATTTTCTATAAAATTATCATTCAAATGATGTGTTTCTTAACCATACTTGCTATTTAAAACAAACAGGGGGTTGCTGTCGGGCTCCAGGGGTTTGAATTTTTGGATATGAATTTTATATTAAAATTCGTCCTCTTGCCAATAAAAGTTGTGTTTTCTAATATTAAAAAGTAATTTTTTTCTGAGTTTTTAAGAGTATTAAGGTATCGTTTACTCACCCTGTATACAAAAATGCGTATAAAAAAGATGTAGCCTTCTGAAGTTTTGTAGTATGAATCGACCTATCATTTTGATACATACTGTAGTAAGATCGGTTACAATGATTGTATATATTTTTTTTCTCTGTATATTTATAATGCTTTTGATACTGAGAGATACATTACTTTCAAAAGAAGAAGAAATAATACAGCGATTTATTAGGAGTAAAAATTCAATCCAAACAATATTTTGCATGGAAAACTCCTAAAACAATTTTAATTTAACTACTTAAGAATTCGTTGATTCGTTTCCGATTTTGCTTTCCTTTATTAATGAATTTTTAATTAAATAAAGTCTACAAAAATATTTTTCAAGGAGTTGAAACACGTCAACTCCACACACATCCGGCGAATCCCAATTTCAAGACTTGGAAAGAGATTCTATCCTAATTGGCACTTAAAAGCACCGAAACCAAAGAAGTAATTACTCGTTTTCTATAAGACACATCGAGAAAATTAAAATTTCTCTGAAATTACTTGTAATCAAGCAGCTTGAACCATAGTTGCTTGCAATTTCCTGCAAGAAAATGAGAAAATCTGTCGACGGCATTAAAAGCCAAAATAATTCCCAACTCTCGTTGAAGTTAGTAGCAGCAGAGTGAGTGGCTGTCTGCATAAAGATAAGCCGATGTGCGTTCTCAACTTGATTAGAGTTTAGAAGCGACAACGACAAGCGCCCGCCATATTGCTTGAGTGATTTCCTTTTGGTGTGCAACTTAACGACGTCTTCGTCGATCCATTAGTCGATATGCATTCGCATATATTGCTGCACCAAAACCGGAAAACTAACTTTTTATCTTTATCGTGTGATCCTTCGTTTAATTGTAAGCTGCACGACTTTGGTTTAAGATTTATTACTCTCGGAGAGGTTATGTCATGTCTTAAATTGTATTGCTGCGCTTTAAATATCTGACAGACAATCAACATGGTTTCAGGGGAAATTACTCAACATCTACTGCTACAGCCTGTCTAATTGAATTTTTTATTAACAAAAATTTAATGTTTATAGTATAAGAAAGTATCACTAGTTTTATTTTTCTTTTTATGATAAGAGTTTACTCGATTAACGGTTACTTGCTAGAAAAAAGTTTTACAAGTTTTTCATTTGCTTGTTTATCTAAAAGATGTTTAAAAAAAACGTACAGCTATGGCTGATAGACTTGAAAATCATTTAGATTGCTAAATGTGCATAATATTCCCTACGAAAATTCATTTTTAGGAGGAGTTGTGCGCCCCTGGCAAAAGTTAGTAAAACTGAGTCAATATTTTGTTATTATGTCTTTAAGATCAATTAAAAAGTCTACCAAGTTTACTACTTTAGGTATGGGAAATATAATAACAGAAAAATGGGGTCTTCATACATAATTTCATTAAGCAAACCCTACTTTTTCACAGTTCTATGGTTACGATCACAATTAAAATTTAGTACAGTTAACAGGGTGTATATTTTATATGAGAAAAGTGCGTTACTATCTTGGCGCGAGCCATGTATAGGTCCGTATTTAAAAATATGTTTAGCTAAATAATTACACTAAAATATACAAAGTCTGATTGGATTATTAATATTTAATGTTACAGCGACTCAGAGTGCGAGAAAACACACAGGAGGCGATTATTAATTTCACACGTACATTGTTTTTCATACGATAACAAGACAAATTTAAAACCAGCTCACTACAGAGGATCTTTTTCTGTATCTGTACCGTGGGAAAGGTGGGCTGCCCCACAGTATTTAGGTCGCAGTAGACCTATAGATGAGAGCGCGGGGCATTCGCAAAGAATATCGCTTATTTGCTGTAATATTGACACAAGTCAAAAATCGACATTTTTAGCTTTATAAATAAAATAAATTGACTTTCTATTTACCAGTAAAATGTCATATCGCTGCCTCAGTAATAAAGTGACCTAACTCGAAAATTTCGAATTATTTTTTTTTTTGGTCATAAAACGACTCTAACAACCCCCCCCCCCTACCGGTCTGTCTAAATCCGGCTTAGACTTCACGCAATATGTAACCGTAATGATATTTGCGTCTCTCTTACACTGACCTCCCTTCGCGCTTACTCTCGTCAGAAGAAAACTAAATTAGTATTGTTTTATTCGTGCTTAAGATAGGTCTGAACAATTCGACTTTCAGGCGTTACTTGATAAAAAAAGGTAAGTGATTACTATTCTAGTTGGTTTTAAACTGGCTTATTAAGAATTAAGTCAGTTTGTTATTAAAAATACTTTCATTCAAAGATGTTATTTTTAGTCATTTTCTGACCTAACTAGAAATCTGTCTCTTCATGACAAAACGTTTGGTAAATTATTAAAATGTAATAAGAATTATGTCATTATTGTATCAAATACTTATACTATGTTTGTGTTTATCTTCTGAATATGTCGTTTTACAATTAAAAGTATAGTCGAGTATCTTTATACTTTGATACTCATTTGGTAATAAGTCTGTACGTTATTAAAACTTAATAAAAGTAAATGGTTCATTCATACATTAGTCATCATTTTGTTTAACTTTTGCTTATTTTTTTCGTATTTTTTAATATGAGCGGCAGATCCCGAAAATTACTAGGTCTAGCACTGCACCAAAATAGTAATTCGGTTGATGAAAATCTCAATATACCTACTAGACCATGGGCGGGCAATGAGTGCAACTATGGAGAATTCGAAAAATACTCTTCCTGATGTTTCACTGTCGGAACAGGTAAGTTTAACTAAATAACATCACTGTGTTAAAACAATACTAGGTATTAGTGTTTTTGTTTTTTTTGTAGGATGCAGCTGTTGATGTCCAAGATGATACCAAATCAATACAAATTAGAGGGCGGGCAATGAGTGCCCCTATGGAGAATTTGGAAAATATTCCACCTAACGTTTCATTGTCAGAACGGGTGAGTTCAAATAAATAATAACGCATTATTAAAGCATACTATTAGTGATTTTTTCTTCTTTTAGACAGCAGCTGTTTACGACCAAGACGATAGCCAATCATTACAGAATAATGCATCTAAAAGAGTAAGAGAATCTCGCAGCACAAGGCAGTCTTCTTTAAATTATCAGATATCTCCAATTAATTCAGACGAAAGTGATGCTGACGTAAGCGATACTGATCCAACTTTTAACGAATTACAGACAAATAAAACCGGATCTCGTTTTTGTCGCAAATCATGAAGATCAAGTAGTTCTTCATCCTCAGGCAGTGGACTCTTCATCCTCAGGCAGTAGCTCTGCATCCTCAGGTAGCAGGTCTTCATCCTCAAGCAGTTCTGCTACTGTAAATAGGGCATCTAATACTCAGTTGGATGCTACACAAATAAACGAAAATGCAATTGAACCCACAACGATAAAAATGGTTGTAACCGAAAACAGAATGGCTGTTACTCCTACGACAGAAACAGAAAATGGAGTAAAAAGTAGGAAAAAAACGTACACCGTAAAGTGGAAACAAAATGTAATAAAAAAAAAGAGAATACAGGTCAGGCGTATGAGGCACAAAGCAAATCAAAGAAAGTTGTTCAAGCTCTAGAAATGAAATTTCCTTGTTCCGACACAACATGTAAACTAAAGTGTATAGAAAAAGTGTCTCATGATCAGAGATTCCAAATTTTTAAAAAAATTTGGAACATTGGCGACCTAGACTTACAAAGAGCATACATCCATTCTTGTATCACCGACATATTACCCAGGTTTAAACATACAAATGCAGAACAGCCTCGCAAACCCAACAAAGTATTTTATTTCATAGTTGAATGAAAAACCTACAAGAATTTGTAAAACATTTTTCATGAGGACGCTTTACATATCTGACCGGTATATTCGCACAGTCAAAAACAACCGCGATGCTCATGGTTTTATAAAACCGGATGGTAGAGGTAAGCATATTTATCATAAGGAGATAGCTCTAACGCTAGTCGAAGATATTAGAAATCATATTAATTCGATACCCAGAATGGAAGCCCATTATGTGAGATCTGACTTAAGTCGAGAATACATGGACGGAAGTAAAATTATCACTGACCTTTATACCGATTTTAAGCAATCTCATCATGTTCACTGCTTCTTTTGGAACGATACTGATTCAAAACGAGGCTTTATTAAAACTGGATCTTGTGTCTATAAATATTTAAAGATGATAGACCAAAATGCAACTCGTCCCGTAAATATCATTTTCAATTCTGACAATTGTGGCGGACAAGCCAAGAACAAATTTATCACCAGCTTATACCTGTATGCAGTAACTATATTGAAAAATATTGACACAATTACCCACAAATTTTTAATCAAAGGTCATAGTCAAAATGAAGGCGACAATGTGCATAGCTTTGTGGAAAAAGAAATAAAGGAAAGCCTGAAATCGAGACCAATTTATATACTTCCGCAGTATATACCTTTAATAAAAAATGCCAAGAAAACAGGTACGTCCACGAACTTGACTTCCATGCATTTGTTGATTGTAAAAATCTTCAGGAGCAATGGGGTTATAATTTCAATGAAAATACAAGAGGCGAACAAGTATTGTGGAATCAATCTTATTAAAGTCTTACAATGTACAAAGAATGAGCCCTTCTCATTTTTCTATAGAACGTCTTACTTCGATGCAAACTTCCTTGAAATTAACGTAAGAAATAAACGTAAAAAGATGCCACCTTTAACAGAAGTAACCATTAAAAACGCTTATACCGGGAGATAGCAACTAGGCAGCAATAAACAAAAAGACTTAAGGGAATTACTGTCAAAGCAGTTAATTCCTTCTTTTTATTCTGATATTTATAATTTTATTTTGTAACCTAAGGTAAAAAAAATTAGTATTAGATTTAGTTTTGTAATAATTCTTTAAACATTTCAGTAATAAGTTTTTTTTCTAAATACCAATTATTTCCACAAGTGTTAAATAAACTGACATTTGGTAAATTTAACACAATATAATTAATAATAAAAAGCACTGTAATAATTGGCATTATTATTTTTAAAATACAAAGAATTTAACAAAAATCCCAAAAATATCTAATATTTTTAATATCTATTAAATTAACACAACATATTTATTAAAACCAAATGATTAGAAATAGTTCATTGCACTAGTAAATTTAAGGACAAATCGTGCAAATAATCATTAAAAATAAATAAGTCGTTTCTTGTAAAATAATCACGTTAAGGTTGATATAAATAGAGAGTCAATCGTTGACACAGGACTCAAGGGGCGGCCGTTGGGCCAAACGTATGCCCAAAAATGTAACTTAGTAATTATTAGTATTTATTATATATAGTAAAGTGTGTGTGTGTAGTGTTTTAGTTTCAAAGGTAATATCTATTTTATTTTAACATGTTTAAATCTCTTGTTTGGGTTATGTATTTTAAAACAGTTCATTAGTCTTTCTACAAATGCCAATTCTTTCATTTTCGTCCCAAGTTTACTTATTAAATGTTTATCAGTTTTCAGGGTTTTATCATATAAAGAGTTTTTTTTATTATAGTAAAAAGTTTTTGTGATGTAAAATGTTTCATTTTATTAAAGTTTTATCATAGATTATATTCTATTAACATGGTTTATCATAATAAAGATTTTACAATTATGAGTAGTAATTTTTGCTTATCCTATTTCAAAAATAAAGATTGTTTTGATTTATTAAAATTGTTAATAATTTTTTTACTTATATATAAATATACATGTTATTGTTTATTAACCTATTTTATTCTCACCTCTTTCCAAAAACCAGTAAGAAATATTCCGAGCATGTTAAGCCTCGGCGTTCCTACCCTTAAGGACTTGAGAGTCTTAAGTCAGTTGCCAAAACCGCTCGACATATGCTATTAAGGGATGTTTTTTTTTTTGTATTTTTATTATTTTCTTTTATTATTTTATTTTGCCACTGGCGAATGGATGTTCCTTCAGGACTCCAGGACCCTAGGGCTGGTGACAAGCGCTGCCTTTATCCCTTAATAGTATAGTAACAGTAGCTAAAGACCTATCAGTAGTTGCAAATGGTCTTTAGATATAACTGGTTGTTACATTTGGTGACGAGCGTTGGTCTTTAGGATTAGCTAGTTGTTACATTTGGTGACAGCGGTGGTCCTTTAATATTTTACTGGAAGGAAAGGGAGGAGAAAGAAAAAAAAAATTTTAAGGGTGATTTTTTGGAATTTTATTTGGAATTTTCGGGAGAAGTTAAGTGTCTCTCTTAATAATCATATTCACATCTGTAGTTGGTTGAAATCCATTAAAAAAAATAAATAAATTTGTTTAAGGAATAAAAGCTAATGTAAAATTTTTTTTAGAGTTTAATAAAGTTCACTTTCTATATTATATAAACATAGAGGTTACGAATTACGAATTGACATTGAAAATATTCGAACTAACAATAACATGTTTTGATCAATTCATAAATAGTATTTTTTTCGTATAATATAATAGTAATATTCAACAGCTTAAGAAAGAGAAAATAAACAAATGTAGGGAAATTGTAAGTCGTTTCAAAAATAAACATGATATATTAGAAGTACGAAATATTTAAATGTATAGTATTGTGCTGATTTGACAGTTAAATTCTAGAGAATAAACTAGTTCATTATCACATTGGGTAAGGTTAGGACAAATAATGGTATTACTAGATAAATAATAATGCAGTGCATAAATTGTATATAAACAAAGGCGTACATAAAAAGGGGACACTGAAAAGAATTGGCATTATTAATTATTTTGTTTACAGGAGTATATAGTTTTTTTAAATAAATTTTGTGAATTAAATGAGTTTTAGTAGAATAAAATTATTAATATAGATAAAGAGTGTTTCAGATAGGAGATTTTCAACAAGCCATGAGATTCAGAAGGAAAGCGACGTGCTCTAGAGGCACGAAAAGAAGAAAAAAAAAACATACAGGTGTAAGATGTACGAATAAGTACATTCCAAAGGAGTTAAACAGGTTTAAATGCCCAAAAGGCCAGATCTTAATTGGAGTGATTATATAATAATATTAATGTTTTTCAAAATGTTTCAGATATTCGACAAGCGAGCTCCAGAAGAAAGTTTTGGGACAATAGATCGACGACATTTTCCGATCAACCCCAAGCGATGTCCTAGAGGGATGGGACAAACAGAAGAAATGAACAGGAGCCACTTAGCGTTCCACAAAGAGGAAATGGTGGACAAATGGATCGATGTATTTTCCGATCAACCCCAAGCGATGTTCGAGAGGGATGGGACAAACAGAAGAAAGAAGAAAAGAATAGGAGCCACTTAGCGTTCCACAAAGAGAAAATTGTGGACAATTGGATCGAGGCATTTTCCGATCAACCCCAAGCGATGTCCTAGAGGGATGGGACAAACAGAAGAGAGAAGAAAAGAATAGGAGCCACTTAGCGTTCCACAAAGAGGAAATGGTGGAAAAATGGATCGAGGCATTTTCCGATCAACCCCAAGCGATGTTCTAGAGGGATGGAACAAACAGAAGAAAGAAGAAGAGAATAGGAGCCACTTAGCGTTCCACAAAGAGGAAATTGTGGACAATTGGATCGAGGCAATTTTTCGATCAACCAAAAAAAGGGTCCAGGATAGGACACAGACGAGGAACGAGCCACTCTACCAGGAGACAAAACAGAAGCAAGCCGCTCTACCACGAGAGATGCAGCATTACGAGGAGCCACGGAGCTACCAGGTGAATAGAAGAAGAATTAAAGCGAAATTGAAAAGAAGAGTAAGAAGAGAGTAAAAGTTATAATAGGTAGTATAGTATCACGATATTTACTGGATTAAAAAAAAATAGCAGTTAAAGTAGAAGGTAGCAAATAGTAAATCATATTTTAAATTAATAAGGGGAAAGTTTTAAATTACGAGTAGATTAATAAGGGTAACTATTATTAATATAGAATAAATTAAATTGGGTATAATTTTAAAAAAATGATTATTTCAATCTACGCTTATGTGCTAATAACAAACGGGTGTTTATTACATGAATCGAATTTTGTTTATTTTGTATTGGCCAGCAAAATAGATGAAGAAAATGATTTTTTAATAACATACCAGCTTATATTATTAATTTTGTTTCGAAAACAAAAATGGACAGAAACGCAAATTTATAAGGTTTTATTAGATTAAAAAAATTAATGACAAAAAAAATGCTGGAGATGCGATAATATTCTAGTTCATTAAAAATAAATAAGTCGAATAAGTTAA